CTTACAAAGCACACCATTATGTCTAGATATGCTAAAAGCGTTTATGATGCAGGTTGATAACAAATAAAGTAAGTTTTTATGTGAATGATAAAATAAACGAGTGAAGATAATAGTAAGCACGACTGAGCATCGCAATATTTTCGGTCGGAGCATAGCTGTCTGAATATAGAACAAAAGTATCTTAAAAACAGATTCGCGACCGAGGTAAAACTGGTTAACTTGCCTATGTTAGTTCTTTGTTTTCCATGCAAAGTCATATAGCAATGTTAGCATAGCTTGCATATAACAATGACATACTAATTTTTGTAGGGCTATTAATCTTAAATGGAAGACTGTAAGATAATTGTGTCTCTAAACAAGACTGTCGTGTTTCGGTTACTGAACTCAATTTCTAACACCAACATGTCGGTATGGCAATATATAATTTTTATAAAAAAAACTGATAATAACGTTGATTAATATGCAAAAATATATAAAAAATGTAAATATTATATCAATTGAACACATCAATAACCATGTTATATATTAGACATAACACAAATTGTCAAGGAGAGATATGGGTTCTGGCAGTAAGACGAAAACAGTCATAGTATATAATCATGAGATTGGGTTTCAAAGACAGTCTTTTAAATATTTTTATAAGTCTTTGGAATATTTTTCAATTCAAATTACATAAAAACATTTAAAAACCATTATTCGGCAAACGAAAACAATATGGTTTCCACATACTCCTTTTAACTATTAAAATACATCCATACAAGTTAAAAACATTAATGTCAAGTACACCTTATTTCTTTGATTTAATATTTATCATTTTAAACCTATGAAAAAAACATGGAAAGAACGTTATTTAGTGAACCAAACGCATTGGCACATGTTGTTTTTTTATCGGCATCGCGAATTCTGCTTACACTACTATTTTCTAGACAAATACTTTGAAGGAGCACGTTTAAATGTTGTTATCCTTAAGAAAACATAATTTGCAGCCAGACATTCCATAGATACGTGGTTTAGAATAGATTTTACACTAAATACTACTTATTCTTGAGGAAAATATACCTTTTTCATAACAAATATTCAGACAGGTAAATTTATAAGGAATACGTTTGTTTGACGTAGACTGTGCCACACCTATGAGAAAGCTTGTTTCTTGTAATCTTTAATACAAAGTGTGTGTAACAGTATAACTGTTGAAATGTGTATGTGGTAAATCATTCACTTTAAATAGATTGAGGCATGCCTTACTCAAATTAGAACTGTAATAAAAGTTTAAAATTTCAGGTGTATAAACGACTTGTGCTATTGTTTACTTTTAACAGCTAAGATTGAATTGCTACTGATATAAAACCACCAAACAGTACAAGGTACTAGACCTGTTAGATTGAGGTAATGTCATTAAAGGTAGACAAAGGATTTATTCATTTACTTATTTGTTTGGCAGATATGTTATAATTGAATAATTCCCTCCTCTGAACAGTTCCCTGAAGCGAAAGTATAGTTAATCCTTAAAATAAAATTAGGAGTATTACAAGGTGCCGTGTCACTTGCTCAATAAATGACTCGCTGATGCTTTTTAGCTGATCTATTCGAAGATCAGCTGTTACTGGTGTCAGTAAAGTTAATTTTAATTTTCTTTAAGATTGGCGACCAATGCCAATAACGCTCTCATTGATTGTGACAAAATTATGGCCCATTTTGACCGTTTTCCTTGTAACATCATTGAAAATTGATGTTCATTTTTTACTGAATTTATTCACTTGAAGCTAAATACATTGTACATGTCTTCGGGATCATATCTAAGACTTAATTTACCCAAGACCCGTGCTCTGATGCTTTCTTTTTACTGAAATTGAACTTACTTGAAGGTATTTACTCTAATCTCAATACATGTTTTCGTGACCATAAATAGATGTCACTATTCAAGGACCATAACTCTGTCATATTGATTGATAGTTAGATAGCCATTTTGTTAACTTGGAAAATTCGTGGTTAAAGCTTAGCATGTTACCTCAGACAAACGCATTAATTTGAAGCTTAATAAATGTATTCTGGGCAATAATTGGAGGTCAGTCTCTGAGCACCATTGATCTGATGTAGATTTTGACCAAATTAAATTGCCCTTTGTGAAGTTAGAAAATTCTTGGTTACAGTTTCCCAAGCAGCACGAATCTTCAGAACTGTGTATACCGGTGGTATCCATTTAAAACTTTAACGTGCAACATCAGTTTCCGAATTTTTTTTATAAAAACCCTGAAATTAATCGCATAATCAAAATTGGTGGTCTATTTCTAAGGCCCATAAACTTTAGCGTAGAATTTCACTGAATTATGACCCTTTGTGAACTTAGACAATTCATAGTGCAAAATAAATTTTCAACAAACATGTCTCCGCGACCATATTTAGAGGTCAATTTCCAAAGTTTTAAACTCTGACATGGATTTTCACTGTTTCATTGTCTGTCATATACAGTGTTTTCATCACTTTGCTTCGTATCACTGTTGTTACACTTTTTGCGGTTAGTCGCTTTATTTACTACCCATATTCTTACACCAGAGATGATTTTGAGTGAGCATAGCCAAATATCTTAAATCTCATTTATTGTTGCGGAAAAAAAAGTTCAAAAAAGTGAGAGAAAAATCACCTTTTTCTTCATATATTAAAACAATGATTCTGCAATGATTTTACAAACAAATAAGTATAGGTAAACTTTGTTCAAGCTAGTGTTGCCGATGCGCCAGAATTCCCTCTTAGGATTAGGGTACTGGACCGTCTCAACGGTTGAGTATCGCAGATCAGGGACCAGGGGATGACTGATCAAATCAGTTTCCAACTGTAGCAAAATATATTACATTATTAAAGTTAATTGAATGATTTCATTTAAGGTTATAAGAATCGAACGTACACTTTAATCTTATCACGTTTTTTAATATAATGATTAAGTGATCCAAATGGTAGAAAATCATTTAAATAACAAAGAAATAATAGAGAATAGAACAGTCGATTTTCCGATGATACGGCATACTGCTTAAATTTAGAGGTTTAGTATATTGGGTTATATGGATGATATAGGTAGAATTATACACCCGTAAACCTCATTACTTAAAAGTAATACACTTCACCTCTCGTCCACTTTTCTTTTCAAACGTTAAAATTAAATTATACAATAATATCAAAATATGCAACATGGTGCCTTGGGGTGAAGTGTCTTTGGTGTCTGGGGGACGTGATTGTTAACATAGGCTCCCGAATAATTGCAGTTCATTGATCATTCTATTTGCCAACAAGTATTTCAAATGTCTAGAATTATCATTCAAAATCGTTAAAGGTTTTACAGACTAGAGTTTCTACAAATAATAGCTGAGCTAAACAAGAAATTTTAAAATATCATCCGGCTACCATGACTGTACACCAACTTTCCACATTTTGCACAAATCTTATTTATTGTTTATAATACAATCGACTTTTATATGCCTTATAAAAACAACATCTTTACTTATCTTATTTTTTCTTAATTTACATCATCCACAAACATACGGTCAACAGTTTAAAACTTATGACTTGTTAGTTTACTTTGTAACTTAACTAAATTATCGTCGTAGTATACCTACGATGTAAAATTTGTAGATTAAACCAAGATAAAATGTTAATGCATGTTCGAATTCCGTGGAAGTTTTCTCGACTTGAAAAATGTAAATTCAAGGAAAAGAGCAGTAGTCTATGTTGAACTGACACTTAATCTTAATTAATATTCAATAAGCTTTCACAAGTCATAATATTTATTTCAACTAGCAATAAATGCACGTCAAATTATCATACTCTATTTTGGAAAATTGGATATATATATTGACATTGTAAAGTCTTTGTAAATCTATATTTACTTATCTTGCTTAAAATCAATTTACTGTTCCGGAATAATGGATAGCAGTATTATTGACATACTTGTAACATACGTTTGTAAAATATGTAATTATCATTTATTTCTTTCAATTGGTGTAATATCAATAAAAATTGGCGGTATAAAAATTGGAAGGTCAATATTTAAATGTAAGTAATGCTACAGTTTTTTTATTACAATCAAATAACTAGAATCTTTTTATGATGTCTGCAAAAGATAGAGAAGGTTAATGTATTAATCAAAGTGATATTAGGTCTTGCTAGGTTGTTGAAGTCGCATTCGTCTGACTTGATTGTTTTATTGAAACGTTCCAGTAGATACGGATATCGCTGTTACTAATCACAAGAACCAAGTAGTATCTCACGAGAAAGCTGAAATCGCAATTTACCTAACATTGTCGATGTCATTTAAACTCCAACAATCAGCTATGTACCATTGCTTTTTAACAGTAAAGTTTTTTTAAAATGCCATCTAGCAGAAACTAGAACCATATTTTTTTATTTGGGTATTATATGTTCTAGACAAGTATAATTATTCTTAGAAATATGAAATTTCCGAAAAGACTTGTTGCATAGTAAGGCAGTTCTTACAGTCAGTTCCTGAATTAGTTCACAATGCTAGTTATTTACCAGTGTATCTCTTATTCGAACTTCACTCGCCATTTACTTACTTGTTTATATAACTTTTAGAAAGATAGGAAAAGAAAGGTTAGAGGAGAAATTGTGTAATATTGTGATATTTAGCTATCGGCTCATGGTTCAGTAGCAAAATGTGATAACGATACTATTAAGTATTAGCGCAAAATTTCATCGTAAGATTTATTAGAGCCGCGACACGACAAAACCAACATAATGGGTTTGCGGCCAGCATGGATCCAGACCAGCCTGCGCATCCGCGCAGTCTGATCAGGATCCATGTTGTTCGCTATCAGTTTCTCTACTTGTAATAGAGTTGGTAAGCAAACAACATGGATCCTGATCAGACTGCGCGGATGCGCAGGCTGGTCTGGATCCATGCTGGTCGCAAACGCATTATGTTGGTTTTGTCGTGACGCGGCTCATATATATCGGTTGTATACAATACATTGAATAAACTGCAGTACCCAAGAGTTTTATAGTTACTTTATTTCAAATAAACTTGATGTTAAATTAACATTTTTATTTTAAATAAGTAAAGGATTTGATGTTTTACCAATATGCTTTTAATTTCTTCAGCCAAAATAAAATATTAAACAGAAAAATATCGCGTTCAGTGTGCTCTATTTAATGCAACAAAGTCTGCAAGATATTTGTCTGATCGCTAAGCTATGATAGCCTGATATGAGGACAAAAAACAATTATCATTATAACCATGGTTTATTTAAATTATTGACCGATAAGCTGCTTTCCTGGTGATAGTATAATTAAATAAACACACGTTAAAATTGTTATTTGAATAATTTTATTTCTAGTCCTTTTGATATTTTTGAACTAGACATTTTTATTGTCTTTATCATTCTTCCTGTAAAGTGACAACGGAAGTGCCAGATCGCCCCCTCCTGAAACAATAGAAGAGAAACTTTGTTATTTATAAATTTACATAATATATGTATGTAATCAGATAAAATAACGATATCAATTTACGCAATAATTATATGTACGTATGTATTTATTGCTTCTTTTAAATTCTTTTAATTAGACCAGGGTAGATCTGTATAATGTACATAACGTTTACTGTAAATACCGCGTTATAATCTCAAACTTTTATGTAAACTTACAATTCTTGAGAATAAAGAATAATACGTAATTCATATGGACGACTATTCGTATTAGTGATTCATTATGCATATATTTAATCATTATGAGAATAATATTGATTAATCTGAACCGTAATGAAGTGTTTTTTTTTCTATATTATGCTTTGTATTTTCTGCGATATAATATATTAATAGATATTGCAACTCAATTTGTAATTTAATATTACTTTCAAAAAATTTTCATGATTATTATTTATGCATATAAAGGGAATCTACTGAGATTTTTGTTTTACATGACGGGACTGGAACTATATGCCCCAGTGCATCTTTACATTCAGCTGAACTTAATACATAATGTTTGAAAAAGGAGCAATTGGAATTCTATACAAAGTTGGAAATACAGTATAAACTTTAAGCGTGATGTCATATTATGAGGTTATTATGCTTTGTTAAGTGCAATACTGAATTTAAATGGACGAGTTCATAGCTGTTTAACATATATTAGAAGAGGCGCCAGGTGTTGCAGCTGTCCACTAGAATAACTATTGTACTTAACAATGTATAATGACTTCTTTATTTCAACCACTATATTTTTGCCATTTTGACAGAACTTTATTATTTTGAGTACAATAAAGATTTGATATGGAATGTTTGGTCTCGGAAAATATAAAACCATACTATATGGAGTACAAAAGTGAATTGATATAGATCTTTTAAAAATGAAAATAAGGCTAAATTGACTGGAACCAATAATGATTTACATTGGGAGATCACTCGGTGCAAACGCTGGAGGTTCAATGGTTATTACATTTTGTAATGTGTGAAATAAAATGTAGAACTGTTCTAGTCTTAGTCTTTGACCTTTAGCATAAATAATAAAGCATCGGAACTAGAACCTTGCAATATTATAGGATGCAAGAAAAATTATAAGTGACAATATTTCGTCATCTAACGTCATATCTGGTGCCTATGGCCCTTTCCTTATTCAATGCCCTGTAATTACGCGCACAAAAGCTTAGTGCATTAAGAAATGGTAAAAAAAACTGAAATGTGCTAGATTAAATGAAAAAGTACCTTTAAGTGTCCTACCACTAATGGTGAAAAAACTGACATTGTGTTTGAATTAAAGTGGAAACACTATAACAGTGTAAGTATCAATATACACACAGTTAAAACAGAGTTAGAATTAATGTGAAAACGCTATAACTATCAAATTTGACGAGGAAACACTCAGAATAGTGTAAGTAATACTGGAGAAACGATTAAACAGTATTAGAATTAATAAAGAAAGGCAGGCAGAAAACAGTGTTTGATTTGATGAAGAAACACTGAAAGCTAAACAGTGAAAGTATAAATGAGGAAAAACGGAAAACGTGTAAGAATTATCTAGAAAACTGAAAACAATAGTTAGAAAGCACTGTTAACTGTGAAATATTTAAAAAGGAAAACAAGCGAATAATGTAATGCATTTTCACTCACCTGTGACACCGAAACACGCCTGGAAATGAGGATTCTATGCATATTCTTGACCGGCTAAATGGCCATTTTGTAGACGATGATGACGACGATGATGACGACGATGTTAAAGTTGACGGAGGGTTAGAATAAAGTTCTTCAACGTTATCTGTATTTACTAGTTGATAATTTGGGTCTTCCTCCATGTATATTTGCCTAAACTGATCGTCATCTTCAGCAACTAAAATATTAACAATACTTTTAAATTGTATTTCGCATTACACAAAACACAAATACATGTTTAATGCAATTTAATGCAAGTAAATTTTTAGCACATAATTAAGGTGTAGATTATATACGTTATTCGAAGGCACTTTATGTCTCAGAAATATTTTTTTACGATTTAGAAAAGTCAAACATATGTTTAATAATGTTTTGATAATGAATTTAAAGTATATAGATGTTAAAGGACATAACACTGAACGTGCATTAATGTATTGTAAAGGTAGCAAATGTAAAGAAAGTGGCAAAGTAGTATTATTTTGACTCCAATATAAATACTAAATCACTTTTATTATACCAAGAGCAGAAGTAGCAAAAATAGACCACCTATGTGGCCAAATGCAATGGGTAACGTTAAGATAATTGTAACACGATACTAAAAATAAAATAAAACTGAGGAATTATATAATAGCAATATGATGACTTTTTGGGCCTTTAAATAAATTATTTGAGTTGTAAACGAACTGGGCATACAAAAAGATGTAGCGACATTATTTCAGAAATAGTACATAAAAACTAACTTAAATAATATAATTTAAGATAGCTATATGAATATATAAATTGGTGTAAAATTTGGCAATTTATTAACGGGACATTTGCCTTTGACACAGTAATAATAATAATAATAATAATAATAATAATAATAATAATAATAATAATAGCAAAACATAAAATAAATAAATAAATAAATAAAAAGATTCCATGGCTTATCTTAAACTTTAGCTGGCAACAGTTTCTACCCAGCGTTCATTGCAGACAACGATCAGCCGACACACCCGTGCTTTCTTATCATGGTCTGCAATGTCCGCTATTCAGTAAGTACTTTATCACACACCCGTGCCGATTTTGCGACTCTGTAAAAATGGTATTGCACGGCCGTGCATATATTTTGACGTGACGTCATTAGCGTTATACAAACATAGTGTAAAGAGGCGCTAAATGTTAGCGTTATACTATAGGCGCGTCAATGAAAAATGACTCTTATTTCACTTTTAACGGTATTTATTTTGGGTATGTGATAAATAGAATATTAAATTCGTGTAAGTTCATTACTGAATTTATTGCACTCGTTGAATAAAATAATATTATGCTCGCCAAAGACTCGCATAATATAATTTTATTCAACTCGTGCAATAAATTCAGTATTGAACTTACACTCATTCACTATCCTCTATATATGTACATATATTTTGAAATTTTCGATAAAATGATGATTTTTTTTGTCTAGACTAGCACAAGTGTATAAGTTCATATATAGTCAAGGTGTCATTTCATTTTCATATGTTATGGATCATCTATACAAAATTTGATCTGAGCGTCAGGTAGATGTAAATTATTGCAAAACAAGGCGTTGTCCCTAGTTTCATATATCATTATATCATTTTCAGAAACACCTTTTGGACTAAACGGGTGTTCAAATGATCACGCAAAAATGTTCTAGCGCGGACAGCAACCTATGCTTAATAATATTTTATTATTATGATTTTTTCTATATATGTATTTTGTTTAATTATTGTTTGTTAAAAATAAAACAACATTTCATGGACTTCTATAAAACAGTTTTGTTTACCGTTCTAGTAAACATACTAAAAGTTCTTTGAAAACAGGTCATTCTTTAAGAAAATTGGAAATTATAAGTCTAGGTTTTAATAAAAAATGATTGGTGAAAATGTTTCTACTGTATTTTCAAGATCATGCAGAGTCTAGGTTAGTTCTTTTAAATAGTCTCATTTTGCCTGTATGTCTATGAAAACCGCAGCGAATGTCTTAAACAAGAAGGTTAGCCAAGCGATTCCAAGTGAACAAGAAGGTTTGCCAAGTGATTCCAAGTGAACAAAGTATGGCTGAGCAAAAATTGGCAAAATATTTTTGCCAGTCTGCTTTTATTGAAATGGGCTTTAATTTTGATAGAGAACATGCATACAAAGTTTGAAGAAAATCTCCCTTTGATAAATTTCTGGAAAAATGGAAATGAAGGTTTACCAACGTTGAATCCGACGAGACTGTCATGACAATACCTCAATTCTTTCTTTGGAATATGGCACTAATAATACATTTACTTAACCATAACGCGTATGTGATGAGTATTCTAAATGAAGTTATGTTATATGAACCTAAAATCCATGGATTTCACTCAACGGTTGTGAATAAAATCGAGTACTGTTTTAAAGGTTATCTTTGTATGGACAACAAAACATTTAAGTCCAAGTCTGCAAAAGCCTAACACATTCCCGTCTGTGATCCGGAGAGATATAAAATAGTTCGAAAATTGGCTTCAATTTTCTTAGGGAAAATGATTTTACTTTTGGCTATCACACAAAAGCAAATAACGTCAAAAGTATTCGGCTATTTGATTTTTTCTCATGTAATTCAGATAACCTTATGTATTTATGCGCGTTCTCTGTGTGTATCACTTACTTTAATCAATCAAAGTAAAGTAATTAGGTTATCTTTGGTAAGTCATAATTTGACAAATAACAAAATTTGAAACTTAGCAAGACTGTGCTTTAGAGATTCTGTTTTCCCTATTCTATAAAACCAACCATTTTTTCTCATATTTGTTTACTTTCATATTACGTGCCTGACATCTTCGTTGTTGACAGCTCTAACATATACTTCACAGATATGTCTTAACATCAAATGATTCCTGGTTAAAGAGTATATGGTACGCCAGCGCCTTTCAGCTCATATTATGTGATAACTTTAATTAAAGCCTACATGCACGGCGACAATGACCATTAAGTCTAATATCTATCCAGTCTTTATTAGAGATATCTGAATCTGTGTTAAAGGTAGTTTTCTGATGATTTCCGATTATGAGATATAAAAATTATCGAACAGTATTATAGATATAAAAAAGAAACACGCCATTATGACAGTAGAAACGAAAATTGTTATAACTCTACAGATAAATACATATTTGCAGTTATGTGCGAATGGATATCAACAATCGTGTATTGAAGGACAGAAAGATTGAAACTACATTACTATATTTCAAAAGAAAAATCGGCTTCACAAAGCGAGTTTTCATATATAGATAAGGAAATAAATCACGAGATGAAGAACGTTTTCAAATATGCATCCGTGTTCGGAAAACACCCAACTTTTACAAATCGAACTAACTGTATGTAACATTAGACGAATCACCTTTAAAACAGGCTCGTCTAAAGAGCACTCTCATCGGAAACTCCGTGACAATTGATCAATTAAACCTCAAACACGGTAAAACATCGGTAAGTGTTCTGCTTAAAACTTTCCCAATAAACTGCGAAAATGCACGCAATGGATCAGAAAAGATTTCATTAATGGTCTTTTATGGTTATCTGTAAATGTTGACTAACCGTAGTGCTGGAATTCATGTTTAAAACTTTCAAACGTTGGAAAAATGCACTTTTTGGGATCAATGTGGTTGAATAAACAAGATACCTAAAATACTTTGTTAAAAACACCACATTGTCGATATGCAACTGCTATATTCAAATATCTTAGAAAAAAAGTATTTCAAATATGAGGCGGAACAAAATACTTAATTTGTAAAAAGTAATCATGCAAAAAAGTAGTTCATGTAATTATTGGGCAAACAAATAGGTCATCTACAAATTGTCCTAATTGTTATAACCTTTCACGTAGAAAATTACAAAATAACTGAGAGCCAAAGGTTGATTACAAGGTAGCGTTTGCGATCATCTTAAGTGCAATACAAAAAAAGTGTATTTAAAATTACATGCAATTTTAATTTGTGTATAGTGTCTGTAATTGCATCTTTTGTCAGTTTTGCTTTGTAACGTATATTTGTTTCAAATGTGTTGCAAATGTCGTTTGCTAATGCTGTCTTGGCCATTTTCATTACGATAATCATATTGTTTTATATTGACCGAATACATACTATGGTATGAGACGACGTATTGTTTATTAAAGTTGTGTGAACATACATACATGGTAAAATATAAAATATATACAATCTATAAACAAACAGTCGAGCATAAGGACCTATAAGAAAGGGCCTATGAAATATATATAATGGAGATCATTACGAACGCCAATACGGCAAACTTAACCAATAAAACATTCGGTTTTTGTATGATTAAATCTATTTAAGTACGGTAGTGCACAAAAATAAATATTTCAAAATATTTCAACATGGAATTGTTTTTAATACATCCACAGATGTGTTTATACGACGGTGATTCTTCCATGTGACACTTGAAATAACATCTTAAGTCGCCGTAAAGCATTTTACAATTTGGCATAGTCAAGTCACCTGGTTGGCACAAGAGAAATATGGGTATTTGTGACGTTGTATAAGATTAAACAGCATAGGTGATTAATCATCATTTAAGTTTGTTTAAAGAAGTAACAATTTACATGCAAATAACATTTAGCAATGAATTTTACTTCGATGTGGGGTATTATTTTCATAAACAACTTGTCGTAGTCAGTCCAAAAATGTGATTGAAAAGCATTTTTAATCATATCTTAAAAGGATATTAAAACAATTAACTAGAAATGTTTAAGAATGCATTTATGTTAAAAAGAACGCAAGTTCACCAAGACCATATTTAATAATGAAAATAATGGAATAAGATCAATTAGAAGCACTGAAAATGAAAAGGATTCGAAAATTCGATTATACAAATTAAAGTTTTTATCATATACTTATAAATAAAATATCAAGGAATATTGATGTAATAAAATGCGTGTTATTTCGTATTTTCACTGTAAATATGTATATTTTACTGCTGTGAAACATATTTTCAGTATTTTCACTGGTGTCTTACCGGACTACTACTTATAATTTAAGCCAATACACAAAATTCAAATTGTATTTTCAAATAGAGAAAAATGTTTGTAATATACAGATAATTCTTTTTCTTCTATAAATACAGGATTTATTTTCATCTTATGGTATGAAAACTATCATATATCACTCGTGGCTACTGCCTCTCATGAAAAGTTTATTTTTTATATCATTCGATGAAAATAAATATTGTATTCTTAGAAATAACTTAAATATCCTCTGTGTATTAGATAAAAAACCGCCTCCGTGGTCGAGGGGTTAGAGTCGATGACTTCTAATCCAGTTACGTCTCTGGCGTGGGTTCGATCCCCGGGAGATGCTTTGGTAGTTTAGCGCTGAGGAAGGTCTAGTACTGGTGTAACTCTCAAGAAACGATGGTTAGGAAACTACCCGCCTATATAACTGAAATACTGTTGGGAAAAGGCGTAAAATGAAACAAAGAAAACAAATAACAGAAAAATTAGATAAAAGTACACGCACCTGTCTGTAAGGCTGACATTATATCACTAGCAGTTCTTGTATTGCTAAAACGTTTTCCAAAACGACCCTGAGGGCGCCACTGAGGTGCTCCGTCACCAGCTGACCACGTGATCAAAAAGATGCAGATAAAAATAGATAGAGTTTCTACAGCTTTCATTATCTGAAAAAAAATTTGAAAGTGTCAACACATTACTATTTAATTAATATATGTTTTATATATAATGATTAAAGAAAGGAGAGTGTATTACCATACTTTTCTGTTCTCAATTGAGATAGCAGAATGAAGTTTAACATAAAAGTTTATTTATATGCCCTCGTTCATCCCTCACTATAAAATTAAAAGTAACTATAAATCATTTAATGACACATTTGTATCATTGTTTGCTTTTATTACTCGTCAAAAATGCGAAATGCGCAAAATGTTCAAGGCATTTCCACCCGAGTGAACTAAAAGATTAAACAACAGTGTTGATAGAAAGACGTTAGCATAACCATCTCAACACGAACGTTACTAATGGCAAGTTTACAACACATTGTTCGCCCTCTATTCTGAGGAATGAAACAATATTTTTATATGGCCTCATTTTACAATCACCTCAGTAAAGAATCTCCTTGCATTTCAACATTTATTTACCTATATAGAACAGAACAGAAAAAACAGAACAATACACCCATTTAAGAATACACATTCGGACGGCAAGGGAAATGAATTATGGTAAAAGTATGTGTTAACCCAAGACATCTCTTTCGCAAACACTTTAATAGTTAATATGCAAAAAAGGAAAGAGTAAAATAAAGTAAATGTTCATATTTGTAAAAGTTGCTGTTAACTGAACATATTAAATCAGCAGCATTGCTCTTAAATGTGTATGATCCACAGAAATTACCTGTGACATGTAGCTTCTGGTTCATTAATAAAGGGAAGAAAATATCTACAGATAAAAATGTACATGTATATACATTGTCACATATTTTGCACAAAACACACAATGTACCATCTAGATTTCATTATAACTCTAAAAAAACTATTGGATTTTACAAGCAAAAAAGGAAAGAAAAAAAAGGAAAGAAAACATTTTATGTCATCTGGAACTAAACGATTAAATAAATAAAAAATGTTAAAATAATATCAAATAAAACAAAAATACCCAAACGTAATTACCTCTGTCATTTTCACAGCCAAAATTATTGAAATAAAATCAGTAATATAGATAAATACCAATGTTAATATTACTATTCAAACATTTAAAATAAAGTGATTTATGGTCTGTATGCTGGGTTCTTTTATACGATCTTTATCATATCATACATCATGTTTTGTAATGTGTGACATTTATCTTATACCACTTCATGTTTTCGGAAGTGTCAAATCATTGAAAAAATATACCGTTATGACAACTTTGAAAGTAACACCTCATTGGGCGTTCGTCACATATAGTGGCGCAACCTCTTTGTTTTTCGTCACATTGAGGTTTTATATTGAACTCGTTATATCCATCTAGTGTCGAACTACTTACTTCGTTTATTTATCAATGCTATGTTGTGTCAACATTGGTATGACACCTACTAAAATTTTTTGAGTTTATTTATAAGGTCAAGAAAATGCATTAAAAAAAATTCGTGTTCGATGATGTTTATCATGATAAAAAGGGACATGATAATTGGTTTTCATCTGTAAGTAAACTTTTTTAAAAGTGATGGTTTCGGATATGTATGGGACAATCAATCAGTTAAATCATAAAAACAGTTTAGCACAATTTGTAAATAGGTTAAAAGATATTAATCAACAAATGTAGCATTCATTTGTAACTTCTAATGAAAAATTATCATTCTATAGTATGTTCAAAAAATTTATAATATGTATGTTATTTACATGTATTGGACATATCAAATTTAAGAACAGGATCGCATGCTATTGAAGGTTGGTTGAGATAAAATGTAATGAGGGAAACAGATTTTGCACAAAATGTTTTGAGAATGTCATAGAAGATGAGTTTCATTTGTTTACTTTGTTGTGATTTTTTCGGAACTTAAAACATTATATTTACCAACTAAATACCTACATGCACCAACCCAAAACAAATTTAATGTACATGTATTAATGTCTAAAATAGATGAAGAATATAGCAATCTATTTCACAGATTAAAATTGGTTTTGTGTACGGTGCATTTTATAACGTTTCCAGAGGGATTTCTTATAAATATTACAGGAATATTTTTGAATTGCGCTTAAAAAAGAAGTTAAACATTTAACATTTCTTTGCTTAACAACAATGACTGAGAAACTCCTAGATGTCGATGTTTTAAGGCATTTTCGGTGTATATACAGTATATATTGTGCATATGATGTAACTGTGAAAATTGTTACTAAGAGTGAATGTTTTTGGATAGGTCATTTAAATTCAAATATATTTCATTTGCATGGGTAAAATTAGTATCATTGTTTTCTGTCTATACTAAAAAGTGAAAAAGTTTGGGTTGTGGTTAACAAGTTATTTTATAATTTTGTGTAATGACTAAAATGAATTTATTGTAAATATCTTCAATATAAAACAGTGTCATTTTTAATCTTGTCCGTAAAACATTGCCTCTCTTCTTCTTGACAGTATAGTAAAAGATTTAATGTCATATTCAATAACATAGCCTGACAATATAATAGCAGTAAAAGGGTTCTTAAGAAAGTCGCTTCGTGTTTCAAATTTATGCACATTTGTTCCGTTTCAAAGAAATACGACGTTTTGTTGTAATTTAATATGAAGTCTAGGCAAAGAATCAATTTCAGCAATGATCTGTATTTGGCGTTCCTTAAATGTCGAATGCGTGCCATAGAAAAATACAAGTCCTAACTTTGATATCGCTTTTATCATATTATCGTTTACGACACGGTTTCTGTCATGTATCTAAACGCTATGTACTTAATTGCTGTTTGTTTTTGAGATAGCATCTTCCTTTAAAACCATTCTAATAAGAGGTAACATGTTGATAGAGCCTAGTGAACCGGAAAGAACGATCATTAATCCTAATACATTAACATTGTATTTCTATATCGGCAATGAAAGATTAAAACATCGGATAAGGGATTGGTTGTTTGAAGGCGTTTATTTAAAACGCTATCTTCATATAGGAATGGGTCACGGACCAACTATCTTGTCAGATTATAATAGCCATGGTAGAAATTTGTTAGCGATTAAACAAACTGATGAGGATAAAGAAAATAAATGCATTTCTGTTTGAACAATCCATGGAATGGGTTAATGAGTAAAAACTCATTAGGTTTCAGAGATATCATGTCCTATTGATTTGCTTACGGAAATAAAAGAGATATGTTATTCAAAATTGTGTTTCTGTTTACAATTATATTTTCACTTGGCAATTATCAGGAACTTTTTACGAAAATATCACCAGTGTATGTCATTATTATGACACTGAATAAGGCAAATGTATATATTAATGCGTCTAAATACACAAGAATAATTATTGCAATAATTTGATATTCATATCCAAACCAAAGAGAATCGGAACATTCTCTTATTGGTCTATGGATATGCATTGTAGTATCATATAAGACCAGACTATCCTTATAGATATATATGTATATACATGTATATTAGTGTGATATATACCATACACATTTTTATTAAGAATAAAACGTCAATTTATATATATTAACAAAATAGCTAGTTCAAAGTACATACGAACAGAATAATCATGTTTTTTTGTGTGACATTTAATTACGCATCTCATAATAGTAATACTGAATTAGACAATGTTATTTAACCCTGGTCTAAGCATACTTTCACAACTCTATGTTTAGTTGTCTCACTAATCAGCAGAGAAGACTGAACAGACTGTAGAACACCCAAATTAAAGTATTCATAACATGATATCATTCCTAAATTGCTTTGCTTTAAGATATCATTTTTTAAAATATTCACATAACAAATGGTATACACACCTCCTACTCACCAGTGTCAAATACTATTCTTACATTGTAGTTTAATTATATTCTTACCAATTTCTATTGTTGTGTTTTTATTACTACGTGACACATGAAATAATACCTTTCAAATACATATCACGAAAATGTATTGTGTCACACCTTTTTTAGCATGTACATGTATTTATAAACGACTTGGCAAATTGTTTTTCTTAAAACATTTAACAAGGGTGTGATGTTTAACAATAAAAGGGTTTGTATTTTTGAATCTTATTGTTTTGTTATTTTAAAATGTTTAAGACATTGTTAAATGCTGTGTTGTTTAAATGATATGAATATCAATAAAAGTTAGAGTGCTTTAATTCACTTAAGACATTGTTCAACGTGTATTTAAGTCTAATAAATGCAGTGCACATCATACATACGCGTTTTTTTCCTAAAATTTGACAAACAAATGCCCAATCTAGTTGTAGTAGGAAATGGCAAAGGCAACCTGCTAATGTCCAGAAGACTACTACAGATCAAGCTTTTCTACTGTGAATGAAATTTGTTGAATAAATAAGGGCAAATGATCAAATAAAATGTAATATCAGTTTGTTTAAAAATCAGTGGTGCATTTTGCATTTTTTTTCACAGAATGTGTATTATAATATTCAAGAATCAACAACGAAAGTTATTTTTATTGAATTAAGTTAACATGTAAATGTATAGATGATTTTATGAAAAAGTATTGAATGAAAATGAAAAAAAATATATTGTATATTTATAGATTATGAAAAAGCATTTGATACAGTCAATAAAGACTTTCTTTGGATAAACTTGATAGACTGCAGTATAAGTTGTAAACGTTATGCATCTGCAAAATCTTGTTTAATGGACTGATTTTTCGATGTTACCCTTGGCTTAAAACAAGAAGAGCCATTATCACCCTTGCTTTTTGTTCTATCTATAAAGAATATTGAACAGTGTATTTATATTGAGCAAATGTCAATAAGAGATATTGCATTGTTATCTTAATACATATTGTTATTTGCAGATTACAACAGATATTAATAGTCTACAAAAACAATTTAACTCAATCTTAAGATATTCCTGCAAGTGGGGACTGAAAATCAATGTTGCTAAAACTAAAGTATGTGTTTTTTCAAAAGCGGAAAACTACTACACACATTAATATTATGATAATGATGAACCCATCGAATATGTAGATACTCTGACTTACTTGGGAGTAAAACTTTCTTAAAGTCGCAATAAAGGCTCTGTTTGAATAAACTTTAAAAGCATATAATATTTTTATCTTTATTTGATAGAATTCAATTTGGTATAAAAACAAAATTAAAACTTTTTGATAGTTTGGTAGTACCAATATTACTGTATGGTTCAGAGATCTGGGGCGCTTTTGATTGCAAAAAAGTTGAATTACATATTAAATTTTGTACAAACAGTTTAATTTCAAGAAAGAGCATTAAAATATTGGACAAAGATAAAAACAATCTAAACCACAATTGTTTAGTATAGTGATCTAATTAATAACTTTAGTGGACCTTCTTGAGCTAAACATATTCACAATAGTATAAATAAGGGTTTTCAATTTGTATAGATAATTTGATATCATTGTAACTATATTGTATTATTCAAACAGCGTTTGAGAGAACAATTTGTGTAGAAATGGCACGAATCCATTGAATTAATGCCAAAACTCGATTACTATAGAATGTTAAAAAATAAAGATGAATTTTGTTTTGAAGAATATTTTAATATTGTGAATATTAGAAAATTCAGGAGACAACTATCAATTTTTCTGTTAAGTTTTCATACATTGGAAATTGAAACAAGAATATATTTTGATGTAGAAAGAAATGCGAGATTATGTAAACTTAGTTGGTGAATTGGAGTATCACTTTCTTTTATGTTGTCTAATATAGAGATTTAAGAATCAAATAAAATTTGCCATACTCTTTTTCAAAATCTAAATAGATTCTATAGAGTAATAACGTTATGAAAAGAACAAAACTTGATACATTTGATAGAAGGAAGGAACAATTATTATAAAACAACAACATCAACCTTAGGCCTTTGCTTCAAAATTCAAACAAAAATTGTGTTGCTTTTTGCAAGTAGCAGAGAAATAACTTTAATGTTAAAACTCTACAGATAACGACAAGATACTGCATGTAAACCATATTGTACTGGGCAAATAAGTCTGAAAATATTTTTTTAAACGCCGTCAACTTTACTCTTTGTATGCTATTTAGGCATTTGCAGCACATGAAATTAGATTTTAGGCTTTGTCTGACATTGACTTAATTTCGATACGTGTAAAATTTCATTTAAACCCTCTTCTGTAATTGACATATTTGAAAAAACAAAAACAATATGAATTAATATTTCATCCTAAACCAGAGAAATCAATTGTCAAAATATCATTTAGGAATCATTACATTAGACATAACACATTTTATTCTGAAGAAAGTATTTCATGTCAATTAGCTTGTATCACAGCCATATTAATGTGTGTTTTTGTGTGTGTTTTTTAAAGTTTTAGATAATCAGATTCTGATTTGTAACATTTTAACATTCATATAATTATAAACTTATGTATATGGTTCAAGAAAGTAAACACAAAACAAAACATGCTCGTGCAAGTAAAGTTTTGATATCGGTCCAAGCAAGGCAAACGTTAAAAAATAAATTTTTTCTATGATTGTTAATATCCAACCACCTTCGTATGTATTGGTTATTTATTTTAACCAACATTCAACTGTTAAGCTGCACGCCTCCAGATGCAAAAATTTTTGATAAAATCAAACCTGGGGAAATGTACTAAGATTTTAGGAAAGGTATATAGATTCAAAATTCTAGTAAAAACTTACATGTTATGTGCGATTAATGACTGAATTTTTCAGTATGTATAACTATATTTCTACTGCGTTACTAACGCAGCAAGGCCTATTTTTGCATATTTTACAATAATATACTGTTAAATACATTTTCAAATTTTCAAGAAAATTGACATGAATCTGGAGGTGTGCTGCTTTAAGACAAACGTAACTGACAGTAACGAACTAACTGCTCCGCAAAACTTTTACTGTCTGCAAAATGCCACAGTTATTTGATACAGTGTGGCACAATTTTCAACTTTAGAGTGGTATCATTTGACAAATCTTTAGTAATAAAACCGTTGTGATAAAAGATAGACAGAATATGTCCGGAGGTTTACAAACAGAAATATTTATTAGCGTTCTGCGTTGTCATTCTGAATTAAGACCAACTCGCTACTAACACCGATTAAGTTTGTATTATATGTCAATCGTGCTTTTCTATATTAAAAGGAAACGTAGCCTGGTTATATATGTTGAACTTACAAAGGATAAACTACCACAATTCTTGTTTATAGTTACTAACTTGCTAATCATTGTCGGAAAAGAACATTGTACAAATTAGAAGTATATACAAATTTATATGTAAAAAATAGCAGTTTCATCTGAAAGAAAAGAGCGTCTGCCACAATAAGTGTTACTGTACGAGTACATTGTATATGTTATGAAACAACTCAATTTTGTGTGCTACTTTCTGATCGTATATAAAGTATTGTTGTACGAGTATCATAAATCCAGACATTAAGAGCCCCCCCCCCCCGCTTTTGTAAGGTAAATTAAACCATCTTGCTATTTAATGACTTATTTTTCGCATTATTGTATATATCAATGAAATAAACGTACGTATGTTGCGAGCAACAAGAGTAACAATACGGGTATGACGGTATGACAAATTTATTCTTTCGCCAATTATTCCCATTGTATGTGCATTTATATACATTCAATAAGTTATTTTCGGTATATGTTATAATGTAACAATATAAGCTTGAATTGATTATACATACTAAATAATGATAATGTTTCCTGCACATTTCAGTACATTTACGAGACAAACACATTTTTAACATTTTCTTTGAAACAATTATGAATCGACGAAAACAGGCGTCAATTTAAAGACACATTTTACCTTTGAAACTGATACTTTTTCCTCCCCTCAACATGGATCATATAACGTTAAAATATATATGGTAGGAGGGTTCCTTAGATATGTATCACCTGAAGAAAGTAGCACTGAATGTGAAATTATTTGTCATAAAAATAGCAAAATCTAAACCTAAAAGTAGTATTTTGACTTCCGCACAAAATCATTGTACTTATTGCCAAAACTCAACGGAAGAAAAAAGATGGTTTGAGTTATTTGCAAATGAGTTCTAGTAACCATTTGGAAACTTTAAAGGTACTCGAAATTAAAAAAAAGGTTTTGAGAAACAAAATAAGTTGTTTTTTTCTGGTGTATAAGGAGATTTAGGCATATCTTGGCAGTGACAATGCACACGCAAAAATATTTATTTTTTAATAGCGTTTATGTTATTCTTATGTTTAGATTTTTTTTAAAGATTCATAAAACATTGTTTTAGCCACCCGTTAACTTGTAAACGCGTTCCCTTGAAAAGGCCAAGAGTAAAATTGAAAATATGCTATCACCGCTCATCCTTAAGTAAAATATTTTAATAACAGAAAAGTCATCAAAAACTATAATATTCTTGCTGAATATGTCTTTTTTGAATAAAGGATTGATTAAAGTCTGTATGGGAAGCCGCGTCCCCTATTACGGGACAAGTGAAGTTGGTTCTTTCTTTTAAAAAATGCCAGTTTTTTTAATGACACTTTATATTCATATTCCGACGTAGAATTTTAAACATAACATCTGCTTTGTGGTAAGAATAATGTGTTTATTTTATATTAACAAAGATCTCGTGTAGCATTTGCCAATATTTTTTTTCATCAAATTTGAGCACATAATATCTTGAAGAAGAACGTCTAGATTGTCAATACCGTTAAAGAAACAATATCCAAATTACATTTTAAACAGTCATTCTATGAAAAATATAATAAATATAATATAAACAACGTAGAGTAATTACTGGAACTAATTAGCATCTTATCTAATCATAATAATTTAGATTTTTATACATGTACATAGACGGCACATCATTTTCCATTTTCCACTGATACGTTAATTGGATATAGCTAATTAACATGTAAGTGTGTAACCTTATTGAAATATATTCCGATGATTTGGCAACTTTCATTGAATTTGGCAACATACATACAGATTTGAGTGCAATATTGATTACATTGACCATTATACAGTTGTATATATATATGAATATACCATCGACTTGAAAGTGGCATTTACTTACATAGGTATTGCAATAACATGTAGACACAAAGAAATGAAAAATACGTTAAAAAGAAAACTTCAGAAGCATGTTTCTGCTCTAAATAAAAAAAGTTTTAAAGACGAATGAAGCAAATCCGATGTCATTTTAGGTAATCCTTATTAGGCAATATTTCATGTACTATTTACGATGATAATAAAGATAAAACAATATAAAATATTATTTCTACTTATTTGACAACAATAATTTTCCACTTTATGTGTCATATTAACAGTACACATGAACCTTAATTGGTTCATAATGAAAGGTATGTAAAATAAATAACTTTGTTGATAATATCATATACCCAATAATAAACTACAAAACTATTTTTTTTAAGGATATTAAAACGATTTATTTCTTTTGTTGTTTTCTTTATCCATATTCAAAAAAACTTATAAATGTGCCCATTGTAGAATAATTCACTTTAAATGATCACTTGTCGTCCAAAACTTACAAAGATATAATAGTAAATCAAATTTCTTGCTGATAACCTTTCAACTAATATTTGAGTTTTTTTTTTTCAAGTTTTTAACAGAGCCGTGTATATTTAAATGTAATAGAATAATCTTTGATTATTCGATATTTTTATCTTACCTTTTAGCGAATGTCCTTAAATCTTTAATGCTTGTTGTCTTCTTTCTTTAGATATTTTTTTTAGGTTGCCACGATACTCTTTGTACTTTTAAATTGTAATACTTTTAAACTTGTTTTTTTCTGTCCAAAATATATAATATAGTTATTGTAACAAGTTATCCCACTATGCTTTACCTTTTCAAAGAAATTGAAAAATCCAAACCTTTTTTTTTTTTTGAGAAAAATAAAAACCAACCCGAAAAGAATTTTAAACAATCTTAAGTTCGTAATGCGTCTATCAGTCAGCACTGGGTCCTGTTCTTGTCAGTAACAAACATTAGTTCCTCATGGTGAGCTCTTCTGATAATGGTGTTAGTTTCCGTCTACTCAGGTATCTTTATGTGCTTTTATGTCGCCGCTAATTATTTCTCAACTCTAGATGGTGATACCACAGTGGCAGGAACAATTGAATAATTATTTGTTTCCTGTAAGCCGAGAAAACCGTTTCATCTATATTGTTCTTTATATCCACTCTGGCTTAGAGAATATCTGATATATTTATATATATACGGATATCAGATAGCTTAGTAGCCGATTGCGAACAGTGACTAGATAATTGTCTTTGTATTCATATAGCATCTTTTCTTTGTTTCAATTTGTTTTAAATAAGACATTTATGTCATTAAATGCTCTGTTTATTGAACAATATTTTACATTAACTTTAAATGAATATCAAAATTCGTTCAGCAAAGTTACATTAAATGCGGTATTTCAGTAAAATTGGATATAATTTCAGAATGAATTAAATAAAAACAAAAACAAAACCCATTGAAAACCTATTGTGTGTTTCTTTAGGCCTCACAGACTTAATGTCTTAATGTATTATGTACTATAATATTTTAGGTGCAGTCATTTAAGACAAAACAAAAACCCTACCAAATCTCGGCAAACTATCACGTAGAATTTGAAAACTTTGTAATTAAATTTTGAAGACAAAATATGTGACAAAATAGAGTAAAACAGAACTCCTAAAAAACGCCCAATTGGATAAAAAATTAAAAATGCTGCAGGCTGGGTTTGATTGAGCCTGTTCATGGACGGTAATAAAAAGTGCAAGTTGCCATTCACACCCACTAGCACCGGCTTAAGCAGAATTCAACATTTTATCATGGTAATGATGAAATTTTGAATCTGAAAACATCCGCATATGTGTTCATACGGCCGTTATTATGGAACCTTCAATGTGACACGTTAGTGCAAGTAACAAGTCATCCGATTTATTAAAAACTTTGTTTTTGTTTTACTGTGAACCGTTCAAGGATCTCGAAAACCAGTAATGTAATAGTGTTTAAAAACGTTCAAAATAAAAAGATTTTATATCTTATTCTGCAAAATATAAAGGGATTTTCTTGAAATTTCAGGTAAATAATAATGATAAAATGATTTGAGACAAAATGAGACGTGATGGTTTGCATCAGTTTCAGGAAAATTGGTTTTACATGTTTATGTTAAAAAAACAACAAAGTTTTTTAAACATTTTTCTTTTACTTTTTAGGCTGTTATGGTCATTATAAGGGCCAAAAACAAATTAGTTTGGACATTTCAAATATCTTTTTGCATGATAACGACAAAGCTTATATGATTAATTCATCAAAATATCAGAGGAAAGTAACTATTTTAGTTATGATAGACAGCCCAACATTTGGGCCTACTATATGCACATGAATAGAGGGCCATCTAAGTTCATACCTGCATAAATTATTGTAAATTCATTGCTTAAACAGAAAATATCTCTTATATCATATTATTTCTATTCATTTGCACGACAGTCTCTCAAAACCAACATGTTTATATTTTCATGAGAAAAATTACATCTGGAAATAAGTTAAGCACACCCCGAAAATTCAAAATTCTGATTGTGTGTTTATAAGTATGGTAATGGAGCGTTTACAAAACATTTACTGGTGGATATTTTTTATATCATCCGGGTATGCGGCGGTCACACACGTTATTAAAATATTGGCTACATATTGTCATTTAGGTTACGTAATCGTCAACATTTACTAAAAATATCCACCAGTAAATGAATTGTAAACACTCCACCACCATATTTATAAACACCTACATTTTTTTGGTAAAAAACAACACATTCGGTCATGCTTCATTTATTTGGTTAAGAATAAACTAAACTCATAAACTTACTACTTACTGGTTAATGATTAATAAATTGGTATCGCTACTTATCAAATTACTATTTCTTAGCTCAATAAAGTCGTCATCTCATGACAGTGCTTTCAATCACAATCAATTTTAAATTTCCAGGGTATGCTTAATTTATTTCCAAGTGTATTTATTAACTTAAAGTTTTTATTCTTTTCTTTGCACCATCGGTCATAAAAATATGAAGAATAAATTGTTCAAATCGTAAGAGAGTTCAATGAATAATGTAACAATAAATGAAACGATTCATGTCTTGTTTCTTTACATCTTTACTTCTAATATTTGTGTTTATATAACATTTCACTTGAAAGGGGCTCCAAATGTTTTATTCATTTATCAAATGTTTATAATTGTTTATGAATCAATCTTACAAAAGTTGATAAATGACACAAGTGTGAACGTCGATTAGGCAAATGCTTTTTTGTAATTTTTGAGCATTTTTGCACCTACGCAAATGTTTAGGTTTATTAATGATAGAACTGTTTACAAGGGATTTTGTCTTAAAATCACTTTTGTTTGTAAAGTATTCCCAACATTTTTGCGAGCAAACGTGTGTAGGCTAATCGCAATAACAGAATTCTTTAATTCATCAGTTACTTTTTAAAATGTTGTTATTTATCGGTTCTTTGATAATAAATGAAATGTTCACAATGTATAAAATCTTGGTAAAGGTGTATCCCTCAGAAGCAAGGAGGATCACAAAAATTAAATGAAAATTGCAGACTCGATTTGAATGAGTTAGCACATGAGGGGTAATGGAAAAGTGGCATCCCTCAAACCCTTTAGAACCGATTTCAACACTTAATGTGCTGGAATCAATGCTCCCGAAGAACCAGAAAAATATAGCAACAGTAAATAAAAGTATGGGGTTGCACTTAACACCTATGAGATAAAGTATAAAAATAGTGAAAAGGGGATAACCATCGAAAGCATTGGAAAAAAACAAGAACATACGTGAAATAAATAAAACACGAAAAAAGAAAACATCTTTTCAGCACAGGCTAGAAGTATTGCCTATAGAAATTGTATTTAGAAATGAAATAAATGTGGTTTCCTATAAGTAATTAGACGATTACAAAATGTATCCAGCAGTTTAAAATGACACATGAAAAGCCTGTCTAACCGGATAATGTATTCATCTCTGTGCGTTGTTGTCGCTCATGTTATATATGTTGCTATGGTATTTATTTTCTTTACTTAAAAAACTGTTTTCATTACATATTGGTCATAATTACACAACGTTAGAGTAAATTGTTAATTTCTTTTCAATCGTGAAGAATATGATAAATATTGTTCTGTTATAATCATGATTACAAAAAAAGGTTGCTCCGATGAAAGAACTAAATCAAATTTACTGCTTACGGTTATCATGAATAAATGTTAAACAAGTCAACAGCATAACAGGAGTAACATTTAAAAGCCATCACATAGAAGCGCTAATCTGCCTCAATGATATGGAAAATAATATGTTTTAAGGTACCACATTGACGACAAATGGAATCTGTCATTTTAACGTCGAGGTACAAGTCCATTATCAGATGAAAACATCACACTTCATCTTATCTCAGTTTCTATCTACATGATATTATACATCTTATGCTTCAAATAAATATTTGCTTTACCGATCGTTTGATTTGCTTAAGTGTTTGTATTATCTTTGATCAAAACATATTTACTAATAAAATTTTGGACACTATTTTAAATTGTACGTTAAAGTAAAATATATTAGTTATTTATCTCCTTTATTTCATTACTTAATATAATGTATCATTGAGTTAGACAGAGTATTGAAAAATCCGAATCCGAGGGTGAATGGTTCCGTTTTGAACGTGCATTGGCGTGTTATTGTTGAAACCGACTCTTCGAGAGCGGGTTTCCCAATCCTTCTTTCTTACCGAATGATTGATAAGCTTTTTCACTTATCTGACACACAGGAAACTAAAACTAAAACAAGACACTGCAAAGGCGGGGCATTATACACCATCATGAAAAATTGAAATTGTTTAAGTAATTGAAAATAATCTTTCAATTAAGAAAGAGATCCATTCATAAAACTGTGTACCTTAATTATAATTGTACTTATACAAAGTGACCGCCAGGGCGAAAGCAGTTTTGGCTCTTGGCGCATTATTCAAAAAACGTTTATATACTACTATATTACAAATATATATTAGCTCTAGGAAACATATATTTCCATAAAAAGACTAATAGCGTACATTAGTCTATATAAAGCAAGTGACCACCAGGACAGGGCAAATTTTGACCACAGGGTCATGATAAAAACAACTTTTGCAGAAGTCTACAAATTGAAGTTACATGCTAAACATACAATTTCTGGGCTTTGAAGATTAAGAGAAGAACATCTTCAGATATGTGTAAAGAAACTAAGTGAATTTCAGGGTAAGGCCATTATAGGGTAATGATTTATACATGCATTCCTGATAAAGATCATTGTTATGATCGAAACTAGAAAACCTGAATAATTAGGTGGTGACGTGTGGTTTCTCTTATCCATTCTCTGCATTTAGTTAATGTATAACTTGTAAAGTTACACTAAGCAATGGTAAAATCCAAGTATCTAAGCTCTGGGCAGTGAAGTTTTTCACAATAAGACATAAATGTGTTTTTTTTATATATAAATCAAATGACCCGAGTGTCATGGCATATATGAACCAATATGGGACATGATTACTATCTGTATTGTGGAGGTGCACAAGACAAAGCTACATGCCAAATATCTAACGTCTGGACTCCATAAATTAAATGTGTCTAGTAATCTAGTAACACCCGGAGCAGGACCATTTTGGTCTGAGGAAGTCCGCATTACAACATCATCGCAGTATATGTGACCTTGACCTCAACCCAAGGAAGATTAAACCTGCGTTCTGCATTATGTCTCATTATGGTTATCATTGCTGCAGATTCGATTTTATTCCATAGGTTCAAAAGATACAGAGCGGATACGAAATTGTAAATAGACGGACGGTCGGACATATACAAATCAATTAAAATACTTTCATTTTGCATTGGAATGTGCCGCTTCACAATCTTGTTGGGACTATGGTGGTTGACGTTCCACAAATGACAAAAAGCATTTTAACATTGACAAAGATTTCCTACTGATCTATTTCATTTGAAAAAAATATTCGACGAAAATAAATTCAAATGATATTCATCTTTTCTATACAACGTAACCATAACATAAATCTGCATGTTTGCCCTGTAAATTGTCAAACTTTTAGTGTTTACTAATCATATTTCCCGGTATTGGTATGAATGTTTTGTACATGTATTTATATACAAAATTAATGAGTGAAC